CCTTATCCACTGAGCAGGGGCTAAAGAGACCTACATATTTAATATATGATGAAACTTCAACCAGAGAAAAACCCAGGATGGTGAGCCCACCGCGGCGCATGCCCGAGAACCCCTCCAGCTGAAAGCTGACCATCAGCCCACGCGGCTCTAACTCCCCTGGGAGTTAATGTCAGTCAAACAGTTCATTACAGCCCAGTGCTCAGAGCTGACTGTCTGACGCGCCGCTAGCCTTTCCCTCCTGCCCATCTTTTCGTTACTTCACTCTTACTCCCATCACAGAGGTCACCCTGAAGAACACCTGCCCATGCTTAGTTTGCGAGTGTCAAACAGACAAAGGCACTTTACAATTATATTTTTTACCGTTTTTCTGTATTAGAACAAAACTCAATGTCCTACCAACTGCTTTTCATCATGTAAGGAAGTTTGACGAGGCCCCTCCTTCCGTTCAAGCACTGACCTCGCATGCCATGGTAAAGGGGCTGACTTGCTTTATGCCGCTAAGTGTTCAAATGGACTGTAAATTCACCCTGTGGATTAGTCCACCCTCCACGTGGAATTTTCCAAAAGCCATTCTTTCTGTTGAGAAGGCTGAGAGTCTGGATCCAGCCCCAGCAGGTTACGTTTGAGAGGAGATTCTCACAGACAAATAATTTGGGGGAAGCAGTGGAACACGAGCAGGGGATCCAATCTTCACCCGCTTTTACCCAGAATTCTCCTTGTAACCACCGACAATGCTCGGAGCCCCAGCACCCCAAACAGCAAACGAGGTACCGACTGCCTGGTCTCCAACGTCCCTTCCAGTCTCCAAAGTCCACTCGGTGCCCATTTCCTCTGAAATGAGTGAACAGGGAAGTCACGCTGCATAAACGCAGGGTTTGCTGGCATGCTGGCTCCGGAGCAGCTCCAAGCTGGGAGGCGGTGCTCCAGCGCAGTTGCCATAGCGACGACCCACCAGCGATCACGCAGGACCCGGCCCTGCCGGACCCACTGGACGGCCTGGGAGGAGCGCACCCTGCAAGCCGTCCAGGATCGGTTACTGTGGGACCCGCACTGCAGGGGCACGAGGCTTGGTCTGCTCAGAACGACACCGCGTCCACCGCTGGCCTCACCCAGAAGCAAAGCTAAGGCTTCTGGGTGGGTGGTGCTCTGAACTAGTTAGAGGCTGCGAAGCCCAGGATTCCAATTCATAATGATTTATCGCATCCACGTAGCACGGAACTACCATGTTTAAAGTTCATGGGAAAACTAGGCAGCAAGGTGACTCTCCGTGCCGTCACGTGCCTGCCCTGCAGCCTGGCCCACGCAGAACACGCTTCTCTCCCACGAGAAACGCAGTCCGCTGTGGCGGTGACACGGAGGCCCCTCACACACACCTTCCCCTCTACACGCCCACACGGAAACCGTGGGAGTGACAGCCGTTACTTATTCACACTTTTATTTTTAGTAAATGACTCCACGAACATCAATGTATGTAAGAAACCTGAAGAACTGTTCTCTCAAACAAAACGCGATGTCCTCTTACGGCAACGACTCCATCTGGGCTCTCACTGTGACTCTTCAGTTCAATGAGCAAAGCCACACTAAAGGATGATAATTATCAAAAGTTGTTTCAGTCATAATTATCGGGGGGCGGGGGCCTAGGCCAAAGGGGACAGAGCGCTAAGTAACAATGTGAACGATGAACTCTGGCCCTGACGCCGCCGTCACTCCTGCTGGGTGCCGTCTGCTCCCCCCTGGGAAGCGAGGGAGCCTGCCTTCCCCCAGCAAAGGGCCAACCATGTCCCATCGGGAGCTTCGGGGGAACCTGACCAATCACTTTCATGAGTGAAATGTGAGCAGCGTCCCCAGGCTTGTATCAGTTAGAACTGCAGGCTTAACGTTAAACTACAGCCCAAAAGAGGGGGGGCGTCTGCCGGTGCCCCCGTGGCCTTGACTTCCAGGGTTTCCAAATCCCATGTTTCTATGAACTCTTCCGGCAAAACGCCAGCGACGGGCTTCACACACATCTTCAAGTCGCTCCAGAACCTTCTCAGAACACCCCGGTGGGCGGGCGGGCGGGAGTCATTTCCAGGTTACGGATGAGACAACTTAGAGGCACGCATGTCACTCACCCAGGACTGCACGAGGAGACAAGCCTAGAGCTCGGGTTTTCGGAAGCCTGCAGATCAGTCTCAAGTCCAGCCTGTTTGTATGTGTTCACACGCAGGCACACACATGCCAAGCCGTGTGACTGCGCCTCTTCCAGGAAATGGGCGGTTCCTGGAATGGGATGGGATGATTCTAGGAAAGGCAGAAGCCGGCGTGTGCACCCGCGGACCCCAGCCCGTGAAGCCGGCTGCCAGGCTGTGGTTTCGTGGCCCTAGGCGTCTCACGACCACAGGGACGTGTGTGCGGCTCAGAGCTGCCCACATCCTGCGAGGTCAGAGCAGCCCCGTCCCAAACCCGACTTCCTGCAGGAGCCCTTCGGCCACCAGGAGCCTCTTCCCCGGGACAGCCCTCCGGCCCGGGGAGCCCGGAACCCCGTTTTATTCAGGAATAGCTGACCCCGTCCCGGTATAGGTTGAAGGCACAGAGCCGGCAGCTGGACGCCAGGGTGATCCCACTGCCAATCCTGCCGAGTTATTCTGGCCTCTGGCTGTTTCCAGGCACATCGGCCCCTGTGCGGCCTGCTTCTCCGCTCTGCCTGTCTCAATGCCGGTCCCGCTGCTTCTGCACAAACACGTCCCTTCCCCAGCCCGGCTTTTCGCTGCAGCACATCTTCAAGGGGCTTTTTAAAGGGCACCCGGGGGGCACGAGCTCCCTAACCCTTAACAACCGGAAACACTGCTCCGTGTTCATCACACGAGAGCAGGGCTTTGGCTGTGCGTGCAGGCTGGAGGCCGCTGTCCCGCTGCTCCCGGGATGCCGCGACCCTGGAGCGAGCCTTCAGTGCCCTGGTGACGTACCGGCTCCGGCGACTAGCTTTTGTCAGCTACTGGTTAAGAACTGTGCACGCAGGTGTCACTGCTTATTCCAGTACCTGCTTGAAAGAAACCAGCCAGCAACGGGAACCCCACTAGAAAGAGCATGTTTCAGAGGAAATACTTTACCTACTTTCATTTCCACACAAAATACACCTTTTGCCCTACGATCAATGAGCAATTCTGCTGATTCTCTTGCTCGAGTTCCGTTCAATGGCCAGTCCCTTAGTTATGTACATCAATGCTCATGTGTCTGCAGCTGGCACATCTGCCTCCCGCACTCCTGCCTCCTGCGCACGCCTGCCTCCTGCACACACTTGCCTCCCGCACACTTGCCTCCTGCACACACCTGCCTCCTGCACACCTGCCTCCTGCGCACGCCTGCCTCCTGCCCACACCCG